GCTCAGTTAAGGAAAAGGCTGAGAACTTGCTAGAAAATCACACAATGCCTTTTATATTTCCATCGTTATCACTTGCTAAAGTTTCGTGACCTATTATTCGTCAACGTTGGGTCGGACTTGTTCTCTGCTTTGATTGGATAGCGTCGCCTCTGTGCACAAGCCAATGAATGCGCTCCGTGCTTCTACAAGAAGGTAGCCTTGGCGCTAGTAGCTCACTCGCGATTTTTCATACGACAAAGATACAATGAGTGGAAGAGGCAAAACCGGCGGAAAGGCTAGAGCCAAGGCAAAGACTCGTTCTTCTAGGGCCGGTCTTCAGTTTCCCGTTGGCCGTGTGCATAGGCTGCTACGCAAGGGTAACTATGCTGAGCGAGTCGGTGCTGGCGCTCCGGTTTACTTGGCTGCTGTGCTCGAGTATCTGACGGCTGAAATTTTGGAGCTGGCTGGTAACGCTGCTCGGGACAACAAGAAGACTCGCATCATCCCGCGACACCTGCAGCTGGCTGTGCGCAACGATGAAGAGTTGAACAAACTGCTGGGTGGCGTTACCATCGCCCAAGGTGGTGTCCTGCCTAACATCCAAGCTGTGCTTCTGCCCAAGAAGACCGAGAAACCAGCTAAGGGCAAATAAGTGTGTGACCCAGGCTGAAATCATCCCAAAGGCTCTTTTAAGAGCCACCTATATTATTATAAAAGGCACTGTACTCCAAACCGATATTAACGACCACCATTCTTAGTGAGTAACTAAAATATGCTTCACTAACAAGAGGTGGCTGTACAGGTGCCTGTAAGGCACGTGGTAGGCGATACAAGGAAATATCAGTTTGACTTATGAATACCGAAGAGTCTTCCTATATATTCCTATAATTATAGGCATGTAGTTATGCTTATACATTCGGTTTCTTTGAATTCCGTCTGTAATGTGTGTGTACATTTAGGTGACCATTTAATTCTACCAGCGGATAGCCAGTCACGGTACTAAAATATAAAATCCTCTATCGTTCACAAGCGAAAGCAGGGCAACAAAGTATTTAAGCTATGGGGCAAATAGTATTTGAACTGCTGTGCCATTCATAGATTAGGGAAAATGGATAAATGGTTGATTTTATTTCCAATCATTAAAAGTACAAACATTAATTTGCTTAAGTAACATGGGTGGAATACAATGAGGAAACATGGAGAGCAAAAGATCCGCGCCTTAATTTGAATCGCATGCGCCGCCCAAACGATCCAATAAGGAGCAGTGATACGGTACCGTTATTTTGAACGCGCCAATGAGGGCTCGACAAGACTTTCGTCCAATCAGCGCCTTGCCTGTATGCTTTAAAAGTGGGCGCTGAAACGCAGTGGAGCATTACTCTCTTCGCTTAGTTGTAAGTGTTTTGTTAAAATGGCAAGAACCAAGCAGACTGCTCGTAAATCTACTGGTGGCAAAGCCCCCCGGAAGCAGCTGGCTACTAAGGCTGCACGTAAAAGTGCTCCGGCTACCGGTGGCGTGAAGAAGCCTCACCGTTACAGGCCAGGGACTGTGGCTCTGAGAGAAATCCGTCGTTATCAGAAGTCTACCGAGTTGCTGATCCGCAAGCTACCTTTCCAGCGTCTGGTGCGAGAAATCGCTCAGGACTTCAAGACGGATCTGCGCTTCCAGAGCTCTGCCGTTATGGCGCTGCAGGAAGCGAGCGAGGCGTATCTGGTTGGGTTGTTCGAGGACACCAATCTGTGCGCCATTCACGCCAAGAGGGTGACCATCATGCCCAAGGACATCCAGCTGGCGCGTCGCATCCGCGGAGAGCGCGCTTAAAGTTGAGCAGGCGGCTATCAAGTTTCGGAAACCCAAAGGCTCTTTTAAGAGCCACTTCATAAGTCCTAGAAAAGCGAAATCTCTAGGTGGTGGTTCATCAGTATATACACGATTATTATTGCGGGTGAGGGGTCTAGCCAAGCTTCCGTAACTGCATGTTTTCCCCTCATGGTTCATATTTCGCAATTATGCGTATGTTCTGTGTGTTCGTATAGCACTCTAAAAACCTGTGGTTGCAAGCGTTACACGTGACGTTGTTCTTGGATGGTTTTGTGCTTTTGTTGCTGTCTGCGTTTGTGAATGTGTTGTATGAGGGAATGCCTGTAACTAGTAGCCGTTAGTTTTAGGGGTGAGTACTGGGACGACGAAGGCAGGGCGGTATACCGGTAAACTTCTTTGGTTTGGGCGTCCAGGGAATGGGAACGAACAGAAGTAATTAATGGGGGACCAAATCTACCACGCTCTGTAAACCGCTCTTTTTTCCCTCAGTTGCAGAGCCGCCTTGTCTTTTTATATATGAAAGAGTATTAAAGGAAAAGGAGGATTTTCCTCCTTATGGCCTAATTGCCCGTCGTGCAGCTGCCGTTTAACTTTAACTGTTTTTGGCCGCCTTGTTTTCCACTAGATGGCGGTGGTTGCACATCTATTGCGTCAGGAGTGAGTAGTTGCAACCGTTCCCTTCAACTTGGTGGCAGGTTTACTATGAAAGTTGTTTTCCAAGTTGGTTTCATCCGAATGTTGCAATCTACCAGTTATCGTTGCAATTGGAATGAGTTGAAATTTATGGCCATGTATTCAAAACTCTGCCATATAATAAATGTAGTTTTTCTGGAGAGAGATGTAAAATATCCTTGTAGTGGAAAAGGTTAGGACACCCAGAAGCAGTGCTGTACTGTTTTGATTCCAATTGGATGCAGTGTGATATATTGAAGAAATCAGTTCAGCAAAACAGTTTAATGTCCTTCAATTGAATCTGATTGTAGTCCTGTTGAGATGCCCTGCTGCATATACTATTCTTCCCATAAATACCTACCCTGATATAAGGGAGAACCTTTTTGTTCTGTAAACCATGCTATTGCATGAAAAAGATTGGTAAGGAGAAAAATTACATGAGTTATGAAGATCTCTAATGTATGGAAGCTGTGATTAGACTGCTGCTTGGTTAGCATATTCAATAAATGCTGACATCAAATGGAATGCTGTATGCAATTTGATTGACAATACATGGTAATTATTCTCAGCCCCACTCATTCCTCCAGTGATCAAAGATTGACCTATATTCAGAAGTAAGACACTTGCTGTTATCCTAATATAGGCTCACTGTCATCTGTCTTAATTTCCAATGAATTAAACATTAACTGTGATGCTAAGAACAGAGACAGAGGAACAGTTATAGCAGTTTTAGCAGTGGAACTTCTCCCATCCCTCTCTCCAGATGGGTGGTAACCTTACAGCCCCTGCTGAGGATATTTATAGTAAAAGAAAAAGCAGGCAGTTACTGAGTCACCCCTGTAGCCTAAATTGGAACCAGTGCCAGCCTGAATCCTTGAATGTCTAGGATGTAATGGTGTGTAGTGGGTGTTATCCATACCCACAGACCTTTATGAAGGCTGTTAACTTAAGTTTTAGGCAGGGTGAAGAAATTTCAAAGACGCCTACTGGGGGCCCCATGCGTCCTTAAAAAGCTGCATGTTTGAGTCCATGAGACATCTGACACTGTGGAAAGGTTTAGAATTCTTAAAACATATTATACAGTATAGAAAAAGTAGCCAATCACTTTAAGACACAATAGTTTTGAAAGTGTCATAAAGTGAGCCACCGATTGATCCATTGACTGGCAATTTTAGCACGGAGACAGAGTGCAGATGGACAGTTAATTGTAAAAATTAAATCAATTAAAAACAGTTATAACTGGAGCATAGGAGACACTGTTATGCCCTTGTAAAAGAAAGCAGATATGTCAGTTCCATGATCGGCATTTGTAATTGCCTAAAAATAACGGAAGCAGATGGGCGATGGCCAAACCGAAGCGGATCTCTGCACTTAATTAATATAAATGAGTCACTCAGATACTCAAATGGAAAAATACACATTTTAACCGTCTATGTAGAAAAACCAATAACATTTATAGTTGTATTAAACAAAAAGATCTGTCTAAAACACAGAAGACATGGCCTATTTCTGCACAGAAAGCATATGATATCTAATGGAATTAGAACACAGAGTTACTTATATGTCATAGAACAGCGATGGCCTCAAAACCTTTTGTGGTTCTTATTTTCAGGACTCTCAAAGTAGTTTAGAGAGTATGAAAGCGTGAAGGCGGGCACATTTTTTTCATTGAGTAACGTTATTGCATGGGACTGTATGTCACTATGCAATCATAGTGTGTAGGGATTAGGGTGACCACCCAATCCATGTCATGACGGACACTATGAGCTATGACAGGATTTGCAAACTACCATTCTAACCATTTCAATTAAGAGTACCTGGAATTAATTTAAGCACCGAGTTCTTGCTGTGTTGATTGGTCAGTCTCGTATAATCATGCATGTGTCACTAATGTTAAAGTGAAACAGCTGGATGAGTCTTTCAGTCAAGGAAACAAACAATTTAGCCGAGTAAGGGAGCCTTTCATTAAAGTAGTTTGCCAAACCTGAATTAGCTCATAGTGTCCCTCCTGACATGGATTAGGTGGTGACCCTATTAGGGATACATGCCATGAGCAATCTATGTGACTGTGGGAGCCTGAAGGCTTTTTGTTTATCCTGACATTTTTTTTTCTTACAATAAGAAGGTCTCTCCGTGTTGTGCTCTAGAGCTTTGGTTCTGCTATCTTGATGCCTGCTTTCAAAATGCCCATCAAGCTCTTTTTAGACAGAACACTACAAATGCATGGCCAGCAAGGACATTGATGACAACTACGCACCTGCCTGGGCCTCGAGCGCAGCCGCGTTAAAGCTGACATCCCTCCATGCTGTTTAGCGTTGCTTCTCTCAAAAGTCTGTTTCCAAGTAGGTCTGTATCAATGGCTTTAGCCAAAGGATTATTACTTTATGAATCACAAGTACCTAAATTTCACAAATTAAGTTTCTTTTGTTTTATTAATTTTGCTATGTAATTAAAAAATTTATGCTAGTGTCAGGATTGACTAAATGTTGTTGGAATGTTTATAAACTGGTTTTGCATTATTCTCAATAAGAACATAAAAATGTAGGAAATTTACAAACGAGAGGAAACCATTCAGTCCGTCAAGCTTCAACTAATTAGAGTTCAACTAATAGCTTAAAGTTGTTTAAATGTGATCTAGCTGAGATTTTAAGAACCCCAAGGTTTTAGCTTGCACTACACTAACAGGAAGACTTTTCCATACTCTAACTACACGCTGTGTAAAGAAGTGCTTCTTCAAGTCCAGTTTAAAGTGTTCTTTGGCTAAATTCAACCTATGGCCATGACTTCTTGTATTTGCACTAATACTGAAGTAATTATTTGGTTGAACAACATCCAGACCTGTTAGAATCCTATTTACCTGGATCATGTCTCCCCTTAATCTTCTCTGCTCAAGGCTAAACAGATTCAGCTCAACTAACTTCTCCTCATAAAACATTCCTCTAAGACCAGGAATCATTCTTATAGCCCTGTGCTGAACCCGTTCTAAAGCAGTCCTAAAAATGTCCTTTTTGAGGTAAGGTGACCAAACCTGCACACAATATTCTAGTTGGGGTCTTACCAAGGAATTGAATAATCTTAACATCACCATACCTTATATAGAGCATTAATATATAGAGATTTTATATTTGACGTATTTAGATATTGCAAAAAAGTATGCACAGTACAGTTTAAAAAAACACTTTAAACACGTCTAACAATAACAAAATAAACTATTTCCTACGAAAAAAATGGCCCAAACCTATATATTCACCAAGTAAAGAGCATGCCGTATTAAAGGCCGTATTTGCATTTATAACCACGTTAGATATTGCACCAGAAATGTACATGTTAGAGGGAGAGGTGATCCTGTAAGTGTCCTACCACAAGAGGGCACCAACAAGTCTGCCCCACACACGAAAAATGCTAATTGGGAATGAATATTTCTCTAATCTAGTAGTTAATGAAAATATTACCTGCATATTATGGGACAACTTTTAGTTTGAGCCCCTTGAATATCGGATTGTAAATCTGTATAAAATATTCCACAAATACAAAAAGTAATGAAAGATTTCGAAAAATTATTCCACGTGGCAAACTATAAACTGACATCATTGAAAGGCCTGATAATAAGTCTCTAGTAGCTGCGCAATTACAAAACAACGAGACATAGAGAATAATACGATTTTGCATAATATACATATATATTGTATCTAACATATATACATTTATTTCTGAATTAATTTTGTATTTCGATACGTGTGCCTTCCATCAACGAATGTGTAATTAAGATAATAACATTCTGTGGAATATTCCATTAACTTGTGAATATTAGTTTTATACCTATTAAAGTAATATTAGAGCCTTGAGTCATAATACGATACGTAAGGTTGCCGGAAAGTTAAATGTATGAAGATGTATCTACTCCTTCTTTTCGGTCTCTCAGACGAACAGCAGTCCAGAGGAGATTGCCTTCGGCAAGTTAGGAAGCGGGGGCGGGGAGTGTGTCCCTGGTGACGTAGCTGCCTGTGGGGGCCCACTTTCGACATGGCGTAAAGGTGGAAGGACTGGTGACCGCTGGGCTGCTGTCGGAGTTATTCGGGGAAAAGAAACAAAATAGTTAAAAGAGTAATATAAAACAAAGGCGTGACGCGTGGCTGTTGAGGATTAACGCGTCAGAAGTACTTTGAAGTTTCAGCACAGTGTTGGTGAGCGGATACTTTGTAGCTCTGCAGACTTTCAATTCGTATTAACTGTTGCTCCTATCGATTTAAGACTTATAATAAGTTGTCGGTGCTCTTTTTTGCTTTGAAGCAGTATTATGTTATTTTTTTAAATGCCTGGTGGATAACGCTTTTAAGTAAATCTCTGCTGGGTGGGGCCTCTTTCCTTGAAGAATTTGTTATAAATCACAGCGAACGGAGGAAAGGAAAAACGGCGTTTTCTGTCACTGCGTCCTTTTCTCCACACGTTTGTGCTTGTCCTCCTTGATCGGTAGCTTTTAAAACTGTTTAAAATCATAGTTTAAAACGTGTTGTGTTGCATTGGCTTCTTGGTTTAGTTTTAAGTTTTTAAACGGAATTTAAATTACGAATCATTATAACTTTTGATTAATTACGACAGCACCCAAGGTGGGACACCGTTAATCCCGGTGTAATACACTATATTCCATGTATTCCATGGTCAAGATATTCCCCAATATGAAATACTTTTAATTTGCTTAACTGAACTTATGTGGCAGGATGTTTCCGAAATGACAAATGTATAACACTGAGAATTAATGTCTGATAGGTGATTCGTTTTTCTTTGCCAGTTTGATCTTTTTAGCAGCGTAATGCTTTACTTTGTGGATGGGGATGTGCAGGGTGAGCTGGTCTGGTTTAGCAGCAGTCCGCACTTCCCACGTAGCAGATGCTGGTTTGCCTGGGAGCGACGTGACGGGATGGAGCCGCTTTTTCTGAAACCAGTGTTAACCTACGGGAAAGCCTCGTCTTTTGTGGTTTACCTCTAAAAAACAAGACTTGACTTTATGCATCGCACCTGGTGGGTTCCCGCCAGCACAAATTTTATTGTGGTAAATATGTATTGAACATTGTTTTTTCTATATACGGGAAAATGCGGTGTTTTAACTAAAACGGCACACTGCTGTCTTAACTGTACGTGATCGATGACGACTAGGTTTTTTTGTCAAAAAAGGAAGGAAAAGAGGAGATAAAAATACAAATCCATATAAAGGCATGGTTTGACTTTAGCTGTATGTCTGCGAACGTTAGTTTCACTAGTCTAACCTAGCTGTTGGCTCTGCTTTAGAAGATGGAACAAGTTGTGACATTTGAGAGGGTAAATCGGTGTTCAGAAGCACCAGATGCTTTCCAGGCTATTGGCCATAGGCAGTCGGTCATATCTCCTGAGCTGTAACTAAAACAAAGCACCGTGCAACTTGTCCTTCCCTGTGTAAAACATTTTTAGCCACATGAAAATGCAAATTGCATCAGGTTATGACATTGGGCGCGTCGAAATGACGTTGGGTAGTTTGTTTTCCAGTGGAAAAGATTTTTCCTGCTGACTGACCTGCTTTGATTACTGTGTGTGTGTGCGCGCGCCTTTTGCACTCATACATTGCTGCAGCTCCCTCCTCTGTGCCACACAGAGATGTGGATGTGGAGATGTGCTTGATGGTCTGGCAATAATTGTAAGGATGTTGTGCAACCCGCCCCATACGTAAAACTGGGAGTGAGACCCAGATTACATCTCCAGAAAATGAGCAGCCGTACTCCTACTGTGAAATAGTACTGAGGAGCAAAGACTCTTTCAGCTGCATTAAACTCACCCACCCGGCTTTCTGTGGGGGATAGTCATATCTGTATATTTATTTTCCACTGGAAACTTTTCAGCTGCATCAGAAAGTTCCCTATGCATGTTCCGAGGCTTTGTTTAAACAAAGATGTTCAAGACAAGGCTTTTGAGAAGTTCTGTTTTATCTGGTTGGATGTACCCCACTTTCCCCCCTCTATCCTGCTGGAATTTGGAAGGTCAGTCTGAGGGTGTTTTAAATCTGAAAGTCAGTTTGGATTAAATGTTTACATGATTGGGGACCAGTATGTTTCATCGGTGCATTTATTTTATGCATTAACAGTTTACACCAATGTTTAAAAATAGACCCTATTGGAATATAATTGTTAATTGTACTTGTCATTTGTAATTAGACTAAGGAAAAAATCTTGTTACCCATAACCCTTAGTTTTAATAAACCAGACAAATGCTGTAAGTCTGTTTTTCTCTACATCATGTGAACAGATAGAACATATATTCATGTAGCACTAATAACACTGAATGACATCAACAGCACTCTCAATGCAGATATATTGTAATTGTGCCCTGTTTTAATAATCTGTTATGAGTTTTTTTTCTGTGTGGAACATCTTAAATGGCTCAGTCCAGTGATGATGAAAAAGGCACTTAATTTCCAAGTCTACTACTCTTGTTCTTCATTTTTGCTGTGGTGTAATATTTCTCTGTCAGACTTATTAATTCAATGCATGGATCTGATTAAGCATCTTGAGATCTCATTTTCATAATGGTGAATGCAAAGTCAATAAATGCGCTACTTGCTGTAAAGGCTTAAATGTGTTTTGCTCAAAACTACTAACAACGCTAAGTAATCATGCAGTCATTTCATTTGAATGATGTTTTAATGTATTCCCATTTGAAAATAAAGGCACCCTATTGAATTGCATTAGGAAGCTTACATCAGTTGATGAATGCCTTTGAGATATTTATAAATTATTACCTAATTTCCATATCTTATAATTGCACACTTACCTATTTAATAATATGTAAAAATTGAAGGAGTTTGTTTCCACAGTGAGAACGGAGTCTGATATGTGGGATTTATAGTTTTATTGTTTGGCAAGTATAGACTGAAGTGTGTTAAAATGGCAGCTGTTTGTGGAATTGGTTTTGATTGGAAACTTGTTGAGCTTCATCAACCCCCATGTCAGAGCTGCTGTGTCCTACACATTTCAAGCATTCTGTTACAAATGTCCTTCAGTTCATGTTTTTGCTGTGTTACATACATGGATAAATTGGCCTAAGAATGTAGGTGTTTATCAGACGTTTGGGGTGTGGGAGTCCTGATCATCTCACACAGATGCTACCCGAAGAGGCTCTTGTGACCGAGGTTTGCTTTTTCAAGCCCTATCGCCATCAGAAATAGCTGGGGAGGCGAAAGTAGCTGGCTGTTTAGAAGCCCGTCACTGGCTGTCACTGGGTGTGTGTGTGTGTGTGTGTGCGCGCGGTGGGGGGTGGGGGCTGACATCCTGACTCAGACACAACAGCGTGGGACCGGAAAGAACAGCTGAGCGCAGACGCAATACTACGCTGCACCGGGAATGAAGGCCAGATTTTTACTCCAGTGAGAAATTTAAAAATAAATTGAACGTTATAAATCCTTAAACTTCTGTAGTTTTTATGCTGTTGATCAGCTTATTATATGTACTTTACTAAATTAGATGCATTGGTGAACTACGGGATGAACTGTATGAATGCAAACGTTACTCATACTTTGACGTCAGTGGGTTAATCAACCACCTACTAACTTGCTGGCTCTCAGACTTGCCAACTTCAAGCCCCTTCCTATCATCTATGGCAAGGTTTTATTTTACGGTCATACAAAACACTTAAGAGGAGTTTGTAGTCTGGTTTCAGTTTAAATTTCTTAAAATCTCCCTGAAGCCTGTGATTTCTCTTTTGAGACGTGGTGTTTAACCTCACTCTGCCCCTTTGCTAAATTATTTGTGGAATTTGTCGTTGGCCCCTCTAGCATGTGTGTGTGTGTGTGTGTGTGTGTGTGTGTGTGTGCGCGCGCAAGAGAGAGAGTCTGTCTTATTTTTTACACCTCCCTGCTCTGCCAAGGGTATGTTGAGGGTAAGATTCCATGGTGAATTAAGGACGTTGGGTACTTTAATAGCGATGGTTTAGGTAAATATTACGGAGTAACTCTTGATTTCCAAATTCATTTCCGAAGGGGATAAAACGTGATGTTTAAATAAAATGCTCAGGGGTTTCCTACAAAATATTTGGCTGGGGTACAACGCTGACTGTATATTTATGTATAAATAGACTTAAAATGTAACTAGAAACGGCTTTCAGGTGCGTGACATCCAGCGGGGGTAGCCCGCGCCGTAGCTCTGAGCTGGCAGTGTAATTAGCATTCCAGAGTTCCTGAGTGAGTAAAGAAACATGGCCGCCAAGCAGCCTTCCCCTAACTACTGACCCAAAGGCAGACATTCCTTCGGCACGTGCCAGGAAATACTTTGTTGGGGCAGGAGATTGTTGCTGTTTGAATTCTCTCTCGCTTGCTGTCTCGCTCCTCGCTTCAGTGTCGTATTGCGTGGCACTGAGGAGCTCAAGATTTTCCACAATCCCCCCCCCCCCCCCAAACTTCCTGATGCGTGACGTTTGTTCTGTGTTTAAATTGGAGAGTCGTTGCCAGAGGGGCAGGTGGGCCAGATGGGAGATCGTACGGATCTCTGAAACACACCCCTGAGCTTTGAGTGCATTTTTGTATTCTCTACCTTTGGGGGGGAGGGGGTACTGTTTTAGGGACAGGCTGACGAGAACGCATTGCTGTCCCGGTCGTTTTGCGGAGGGTAATCCTGCTGCCATAGCTAACGTCAGACACACGCCATATTCACTAAGGGCACATCCGCAGGAATCTGCGGGCCCGCACCTGTGCAGGCTGCATCATGAGCACGATGTTGATGGCATTATGGGTCATTGCTAAATGGTCACCATGGAAATTATTTATTTGTAGGAAAGGCTGTGTGGGGTTGATCGACGGGTGTGTGTGTTTGTAGCGTTGCTGGGTACCTGCTCTGACGTTAGTGGGAGGTTTCGTCCCCTCAAGGACTCTGGCTGCAGGTCTGGATGAATGTGACTCGTATTCATCTTGGAACGCCCTCTGTGATGTTTCCTGTCAAGACGTGCATTTCTCAATGTAAAATCGACTCGGACCTTTACTGCGTTTTATGATGTTTGTCCATATCAGACTTTTGGTGTAGTCTAAAGTTATACTCCTTCAGAGTAAAATGAAATGGCTTTTTTTTCCCATGGTTGTGTTTTGAATTGGATATGTATTTGGGTGTGTGTCCGGGCAAAATAATGATCAGCAATTATGTTTTGGGACAAGTTCCATTTCATGAACTTTTTTGTTAAAAAGTAATGGGTTAGGGTAGCTCTCATGGTTCTTTTGGTTTTGATTCTATTATTATTGTTGTTGTTTTATTATAATAATAATAATAATAATAATAATAATATAAATTATTATTATTATTATTATTATTATTATTATTATTATTATTATTATCCATCCATTATCTCCCGCTGAATCCAAGGTCGGGTCGCGGGGGCAGCAGTCTCAGCAGGGAAACCCAGACTTCCCTATCCCGGGCCACTTCATCCAGCTTCTCTGGGGGGATCCCGAGGCGTTCCCAGGCCAGCCGAGAGGCATAGTCCCTCCAGCGTGTCCTGGGTCTTCCCCGGGGTTTCCTCCCAGTGGGACATGCCCGGAACACCTCACCAGGGAGGCGTCCAGGAGGCATCCTGACCAGATGCCTGAGCCACCTCATCTGGCTCCTCTCGATGCGGAGGAGCAGCAGCTCCTACTCTGAGTCCCTCCCGAATGACCGAGCTCCTCACCCTGTCTCTAAGGGAGAGCCCAGCCACCCTGCAAAGGAATCTCATTTCGGCCGCTTGCACTCGCGATCTCGTTCTTTCGGTCACTACCCACAGCTCGTGACCATAGGTGAGGGTAGGAACGTAGATCGACTGGTAAATCGAGAACTTTGCCTTTTGGCTCAGCTCTTTCTTCCCCATGACAGACTGATGCAGCGCACTGAGGACGACACAGAACTGTCCCAGTGAGAGCTGAAGATCAGGGTCCGATGAAGCCAACAGAACCACAACAATCTGCAAAAAGCAGAGACCTAATCCTGAGGTCGCCAAACCAGACACCCTCAACGCCCTGGTTGCACCTAGAAATTCTGTCCATAAAAACTATGAACAGAATCAGTGACAAAGGGCAGCCCTGACGGAGTCCAACCCTCACTGGAAACGAGTCCGACTTATTGCCGGCCATGCGGACCAGGCTCTGGCACTGGTCATACAGGGACCGAACAGCCCTTAAAAGGAAGCCTGGCACCCCATACTCCCGGAGCACCCCCCACAGGACTCCCCGAGGGACATGGTCGAATGCCTTCTCCAAGTCCACAAAACCCATGTAGACTGGTTGGGCAAACTCCCACGCACCCTCCAAAACCCTGCGGAGAGTATAGAGCTGGTCCACTGTTCCACGGCCAGGGCAAAAACCACACTGCTCCTCCTGAATCCGAGGTTCGACAATCCGGCGGACCCTCCTCTCTGGAACCCCCGAATAGACCTTACCAGGGAGGCTGAGGAGTGTGATCCCCTTATAGTTCGAGCACATCCTCTGGTCCCCCTTCTTAAAGAGGGGGACCACCACCCCAGTCTGCCAGTCCAGAGGCACTGCCCCCGATGTCCACGCAATGCTGCAGATGCGTGTCAACCAGGACAGCCCCACAGCATCCAGAACCTTAAGGAACTCCGGGTGGATCTCATCCACCCCCGGGGCTCGGCCACTGAGGAGCTTTTTAACCACCTCAGCGACCTCTGCCCCAGAGATAGGGGAGTCCACACCCAAGTCCCCATACTCTGCTTCCACATTGGAAGGCGTGTCGGTGGGATTGAGGAGGTCTTCGAAGTACTCCCTCCACCGTCCCAAAAAACGTCCCGAGTTGAGGTCAGCAGCACCCCATCCCCACCATAAAGTGTCGATGTTGCACCGCTTTCCTACCCGGAGCCGCCAGATGGAGGACCAGAATCGCCTTGAAGCCGTCCGGAGGTCGTTTTCCATGGCCTCACCAAACTCCTCCCAAACCCGAGTTTGTGCCTCAGCGACCGCTCAAGCCGCATCCCGCTTGGCCTGCCGGTACCTGTCAGCTGCCTCTGGAGT